CAATCTCTGATTATGCTCCGAGGCCATGACCTTCCGCTTTGAGGATCATCTTCGACTAAATGTCCTGCCAGACATGCTTGACACGTTTGCCCACCTGCCTAACTACAGCAGGCTGAGTTCCCGACACCCCTGTTCGGTGTCCAAGCTCCCCCTGTTCGAGGTTCGGATTCCTGTGCGGGGGTAGCAGGACTGCCTGAATCTTTGCCTCCTGACTTCCTAGTTGCCTTGCTGTCAACGAGTCTTAGGAAGTGCCACTTCCTGGCCTGCGGTCAGCATGTCGTGCTGGAGCTTGTGGTTGCTGGGAATATACGTAGGTGCCACCTCATTGATCGTGTTTGAGACATGAAGAGTTTGCGCGAAGTTCGCTGTTTCAGAAGTTGCTCTAACCAGCACTCTTTTTCACCTTGCCATTCTGTTTCCTGGCTCAGTTCTTGTGTCGCGCATTTTCCTTTGTTTGGAATGATGTTTTTAAGAAGCACGAAGTTTACGAAGTGCCACTTCCCATCCTCCAGTCAGCATGTTGTCGTGCTCGTCGGTCGTGCTGGCCGGTCGCTAGGAATACGTAGGCATTTCGTGTCAGAAACAGTACCACCGAGTTTAAAGCGTTCCACTGCCCTGCCTCCAGTCAGCATGTTGTCGTGCTTGTCCGTCGCGAGGAATACGTAGGCCTTTCGTGTTAGAGACATGTGACCGGCGAGTTTAGTTTAAGAAGTGCAGCTACCCAGAGCATGTCAAACTTCACATGACCGACATTTTGCACGAAACGGACAGACAGTCTGATCTTGAAGCTGACGTGCAGTCAGTACATAACCAGTGAAACCTCTGTCCAGGGACACATCCGTGGAAATAATCTGTGCCTTCAGAGCTGGTGTCTGTGTGAAAGCACTCTGAAACCGGACAAGTGGAACCTCTGTACAGGGACACATCTGTGACATTGTCCATCCCACGCCTACTAAAGTATAAATTTATTATTATGACACTCCATGTCCTTATAAAGACTGTCCCTGAATCCGTTGTCGCTCATCCGTGACAGTTTCCTCTACTTCTTTAGGTGAACTTCTCAGCTCTATGTAACGGCAGTAATACATACCAGTCACTGCGGCAACACCACTCACCGGAGGCCTGTCACGGCCGGTCTGTAGATCAGGCAGCCGCCCAGGTCTAATGCTTCGTTGCTTCCTAGATCCATCACCGCGCGACCTCGAATCAGACCGTTGGTCCGCAGCAGCGATAATTTCTGAGAAAACGGCCCACGAGCAGAATAAAGTCTTCCCAATGATAGCCCGGGTACGGTTGCTGGGCCAGGAATCATATCCTTCCAGTCGCAGGTCCTGTTGTGATCACAATAACCATACTGACCAGCATGCCTATGTCGACACGAAAGTATTTGCATGCCGACACAAAGCAATTCAAGCGATCCTCAATGTCACGTGCTCTTCGCAAACGTCTGATAATCGGAGGTGTTTGCGTGGCTTTCTCGTTGCCGGGCAGCCCCTGCTCGCTGTCCGTGTTGTCCGTGTTGTCCGTGTTGTCCTCTTCGCCTTCAGGTGCCTGCGCATGTAGTACAGCTTGCTTCTCAGCAGAACCCTTCTTTTTTCGCCATGCTTGCCAGCCACTTTGACCACTTTGACCCGATCGCTGCTTTCCCTTCTTTGCTTTCATCGCTTTCATCGCTTTCATTGCCCTCACATTGCCGTCGTTGTGTTGGACCTTGGCCGCCTTCATTGCTTTCATGGCTTTCATTGCCCTCGTGTTGCCATCCTGCTTGGCGGCCTTCTTGGCCTTCATGGCCTTCATGGCTTTCATGGCTTTCATGGCTTTCATCTACTATGTAGGTAAGCTCTGCAGTTGATGCCTTGACCCTGTGTCTGCGCCACAGGGTGTAGGTGCACTCGCCGGGCGCACATGTCAAACAGGCACTTATTGGTCTCACTGAATTTCGTTAATAATCCTAGTAAAGTTACTACACTGTTGGATATTATTCTGCTTGCGTTCCGCATGCGCACGCCGGCCGTGCAAGTATATTTACAAATTCGATAATATTATTCTGCTTGCGACATGAATTTACGGATGTGTGCGCAGCGGGTCCTGCAGGCATACGCGCGACGGGCGAGCAGGAGTACGCGTGGCGGGCGGTAAACTGACGCAAAACCATAAATACCGAGTATTTCTTTTCGTCGGGAGGGCAGCTGTACATGTGAGTTGAATGCTTCATTGAAATGAACATTCAATTCATTCAATAGCATAATAATCATAATAATAATGCTTGCGACGGCGCGCGCCGAGTGCGCGCGCCCGGCGCGCGCCCGGCACGCGTCCGGCGCGCGCCGGGCACACAGGTGTATACGTAGCAAGTGTACGCGTGTAGTATATTTGCACTATTCCATAATATTCTGCTTGCAACGGTGCGCGCCGGGCGCGCGCGCTGGGCGCGCGGGCGGGCGCGTGCCGCACGTACAGGCGTACGCGCGAAGTGTAAGCGTGTACTATACTATATTTACACTATTCCATAATATTATGCTTGCAACAGAATTTACACATGTGCGCGCAGCGGGTTGCGACGGGCGCGCAGGAATGACATGTGGCGGTCGTTTACCACCCAAAACCAAATATACCCAGGGTGCGCGCGCCGGGTGTGCAGCGGGCGCGCGCCGGGCGCGCAGCGGGTGCACGCCGGGCGTGCCGGACGTGATAATACAATTCTTTAGTCTGTTTGCAACGTGCACAGGTCTGCGCGCCGGGAGTTGAGGCGAACGCGCTCCGGGCGCACAGGCGTACGAGTGCCGGGCGCGCAATCTTGGAGTGGTACCGGCCGGATGTTTAGGGTTTAGGGTTTATGCAAACATGAGCAGCCGGACGAGCCTCCAAACACAATGTCGATCTTGCCAGCGAATTTGGCATGAAGAAGGCTTGACCTCAGGTCGACGAGTTCAGGGTTTAGGTCAAGCAATTTAGTAAGGCGCGTCAAGCAATTTGTTAAGCAAGTGACACGTTTTTTCTCGCCATTGCTGGTTTATTGTGAGACTGTGTATCCGTACATCAGTCCCTTTAAGTTTTTCGGAGACTGCGTATACGTACAGTCCGTCTATACGTTGAGGACTCTTCCATGCCTGCGAAGCAGAAACCAAAGCTGATCTCTGTACGTGTCCCGCATGCCCAGCAACACCATTGACAGGAATCTCACAGCGAACAGTGGACGGATGACCTCGCAGTATTGAACTGCCATCCGTCTAGCATCCGTCACTGGAATCCGTTCAAACTCAAACGAGTTGGCCAGTGCCCTCGCAAAGCCTTTCCATGGTTCCTCGATCAGGCAAATCCCAATCCCAGCCGGGAGGCTGCTCAACCAAGCCCCGCAATCTCTCTGCATCTACCGGGTTCACTTCCATTCGCAACTTTCCTTGGAGTACGTCGCATTGTCGAACCATGAGTACTTTCTGCATTGTTGGAATCCGTTCCTGTACACCTGCTTCCACAATATCACCTGCAGAGGATCCGCGTCTGTTGTGCTTGGTTTGGAAGTGCTGTAGCAAACTTCGTAGTTGCCGATCGCTCAAAACAGCCCGCTCCATTTGCCATCCCATTGACAAGTTCATCATGACACATCCCAGCACCAGGTCGGTGCAGATTCGCTGGAATTCTTCTCTCGTAAACATGTTTCTTTCCATTTCCGTAGTGGCATCGGCCTCGGAACCATCGCTATCATCCGAATGATAAGGAGTCGTTCGATCGTCATCGTCACTTCCTTCAGGTCCATGAAGCCTGCCAAAATCCGTTCGATCCATTGCTGCACTTCCGTGGCAGTACGTCGAACTGGTGCACTTCTTTCCTAGTCGTGTCTTTGACGATCTGCGTGTATGCGCATGTCAATAATACTGCCTTGTTTGCATGAGGACAATCGCCTCAGTCGGAGTACACTCGCTCAGACAAAAACGGTTCGGTCGCGTTGAATCTTGAGCTGAAAAGCTGCTGCAGTTCAACATGTTGAGCTTGGAAGCAACCCATGGTGCAGCCGTCAAGTCTTGGAATGCCGTGTGGCTTAGGCCGGGGCTCTTCGAGGATCTCGATGCGCATACTGTCTCAGCCTGGCCGCCGACAGACTGAAAGTGAGCAGAGGGATACTGATGCCATGCATGACTTTCCTTCTCTTCCTTCCCTTCCCGCCTCCCTCACATCACTCCTTGCTGCCTGCTCATTCCTCGCATCTACAGTCCCACCCTCATCTTGATCATTCCTTCTTCCTTCCCTGCTTCCTTCCTTCCTTGCTTCCTTCCTTGCTTCGTTAATTATTTTCGCTGTGTCTCTCTCTCTCCCTCTCTCTCTGCATCAGTCTTTGAGGGTCCGGCTCACCCCTGCTCGGGGTTCATCCTCACCCCTGTTCGCGGTTCATCCACACCCCTGCATGGGGTTCTCACGACCCCTGTTCGGGGTCCAGGCTCACCCCTTTTCGGGGTTCATCGGTACGCCCCTGTGCGGGGCTCTACCAGATAGATTTTTATAACTTATCTAAAATAGAACCAACTTACGATCTGGTTGTATCTTAGATATCTTAGGTTTTAAGTTAGGTTTCTTGGTTATAAGTTAGATAAGTTGTAGGCCAAGATGCATTTTACTTGGTGGCAACATATGTACACCTGTGGTAGTTAGGCGGAACTTGCGGCGAACTTGCCGCGAACTTAGGAAGAAGTTAAAGTGAACTTAGGAATCAACGTTTTTCATAGTTTTTCGTTTCTATGTTTTATACGATTGAAAATCGCTGAGGCTGATGATCCATTCAATGATGCATGAATGCGTGGTTCGTCATGATATATACAGCTATGCATTTACGTCTTGCTTATTCATTACATAGTAACCAGGAACGGCAAGCTCATCTATTATAAGTGATTCTGCTGTTAAATCGTCATGCTTGTTGTTGTATATAACCATGTTGGCTCAAGCTACTTTAGCTGTCCTTCGCAGTTGCTGTTTTTGGCGAGAGTGCCTTGAGCTGTTGGCTCGGCATGGCCCAGGCAGGTCAGGTGGCTCAGCAGCAGCGTCGGCCCAACCAGGACTACACGAGTGCCTGGCACTTGTTCACGGAGCGGCAGTGGACGAGAGTGAGCAGCAAGCTGACTCTGCGAGAGAAGGCCGAGTGTGTCTTGGAGGAAGCCTGGCTTCAGCTGGGGATGCGGCTCCCTTCTGAAACGACACTGGCGACTTTTACGGCCGTTTGCTTTCTGCTCAGCTCGGACAACGCGACAACAGCAAGCACTTGGCAGCTTGCTACTTCCTACCAGACAGTCAAGTCTGTTTGGAAAAGCCTTTCGAAGCGTTTGTTAAGGGTTCCGGAAGTGGAGCCAAGGGCACCTTTTCTACAGGTACTGCCTCAGAACTTCAACCAGCTTCCACAAGAGCTTCGGCTTCGCTTTGGGACTTCGCTCCCTGCGACCGTTGTGAACCGCCCGGTTCAGGACCAGGACGTTGCTCTTCTGACCGCCCGTGTGCCGATGAGGAGCCAGTCCAGCGGCCACGTTGCGGCCCCGGGTTCGGAGGGAGATGCGTTCCAAAGGGCCATGGTGGGATTCATGCATCAGATGTCTGCGAGGCAGCAGATGCAGCCGGATCTTCTGCCCGGCTTGCAGATCTTCAGGCAGTCCGGTCGGCAAGCTGCGGCCTCGCAGCAGCAGCTGCCTGCGACTCCGACAACTGCAGCCTCTGTTGCAGCCGCGCCACAGCTCGCGCTTCCGGCCCCACCAGCGGCTTCGGCAGCGCCACAGCTAGCTCTTCCCGCCCCAGCAGCTTTGCCGAGCACGCTTGTTGCAGGCTCGACGGAGGCCCCACAGCCGCAGGACAGTCCTCGTGAGCAAGCCTTGGCTTTGGCGAACCAGGTTCCTCAACCAGGCGCGGAACCTGCTTCGCAGGTGGCCTCGGTGCCATCTGCTGCTGGGCTTGCTTCCTTGCTGCAGGAAAGGCGCGACTTGGAAAAGGAGCAGAAGGTCGAAACGGCACAGGGCAAGGAGCAGGGGCCTTCTGAGGAGACGACCAAGAAGTCGACGAAGCCCGGCCTCAAAGCGAGGCCTGCGGCCTGCCCAGGTCTTCTGAAGCGTCCGGCTGCTGTGTGCCAGGTTCAGGAACCCCCGGCCAAGAAGCAGCGACCCGAGCCCGAGACGCTGCAGAAACCACGCAAGCAGAAGCCAGAAGCAGCGACGTGTGCCAGCACAAAGGCAGGGAACAAGTACAGCAACGAGACTGCGCACGCCGTGAACTGGGGTGTTTGCAAGGTTGAGTACTACACTCACAAGAGCTACATTCGCAAATGGGAAGGGGGCAAGCTCAAGATGATCATCGGCGCCTGCAGCGGTGATCACCAGAAGGTTTGCCATGCTCTGTGGCCTCACGTTAAGAAAGGCGCCAGCCTTGCAAAGCTGCAGGAGCTGCGAGAGAAACTGATGAGCAGGTAGGTTCATCTCCGATTCCTGCATGGGCATAGCAGTTCCAGACTTGCTTGACAGAGTCTGCGGAGCGGTTCCTGTCGATCTTTCTTGGATTGCCCGCCCATCCATTCATCTGTGATGTTTTCTACAAGTTACCTTCACAGGGAAGTTGCTGTTCGTGAAAACAGACGTGCGATGTTGCAACACACTCTCGTTACTTTCAGTTCTGTCCGAGGTTTTCCTATGCTTTAAATGAAGTCGTGAAGCAGTGCAAGGTGTATCTTGCCGCAGGTCTGTTTGATGCAGCGTTTCTGCAGGTGTTTAGGCTCCAGTTTGCCAAATGGCCTGTGCCTTTTTCGGCGCCTGTGGCAACCGGTGCTCTCCGGGGCATGTGCACTGCTGCCGGTTATGCCCGACAGCACACACGCGCGGCTGTGTGCGCAGACAGCTCCAAAGAGAGGAGGAGCGGGAGGCGCGGCAGCTGATGTCAAGGCAGCGCCGCATGACATGGCTGCATTCGGGACAAGGGCCGCGTCCGTGTGCGATGCGTGTCTGCTCCCGCCTTGTAGTGGCACCTCACAGGCACTGCTGCCGCTTGTGTCCGGCTTCGCATACCCGTCGGTGTGCTGCAAGAAGCCTAGCTCTGGAGCAAAGCCTTGGAACTGGAGCCGCGCTACCAGCGGTGACCAGCTCGTCTTCGAGCAGTGCAGACAGTGCGGCGGCAGCACTGGCGACTTCGACCTCCAGCAGTGCAGTTGTCTCTCCAGACGGCACTCAAGGCCCGGCGTTGCAGAACGCGGGGCCAGCCGTAACTGCAGCGGCCGCGTCGCAGCAGCAGCAGCAGCAGCGGCAGCAAGTGAGCTTCTTGCAGGAGCTGGATTGACTCATCCGGCATATATAGCTTTAGCAGGCGGACGGTTCGCCCGAGGCTGTCTTGGAAAGGAGAAGGGATGTCAGTCAGTCTTAGCATGAAGTTCTCATGTTCTTTTCTGTGTCCTTTTGCCTGCTTGTTGGACTTGTGTTTCTCCGCAGCCGTTTTTCTCAAGAGAACCCCTGTGGGGCGCAGGCTTCTTCGGAAGCCATGGCTGAGAAACCGCCGGAGAAGGACAAGGCCATTCTTGCAAAGTCCAAACAATCAATATATATATATATATACATATAGCTTAAAAGTGTATATATACTATATAAAAAAATAATATAATACAATATATATTTTATAATATAATCCAATATATTGTATAATATAATAGAACATAATTAGATATATATATATATATATATATAATATTATGTAAACCCAAAATCCCTTATGTAACTCTGTCGCAGGTGCCAACCTCCAGCTCGGAGGACGAAGACGACGACGACGACGACGACGAACAGGAGGCAAAGGCGCCTCGCAGCGTCTTTAGCCCTCCGAGCGCACCTCCGAGCGCTCCGGCGGAAACCAAGGACAAAAAAGAGAAAGAAAAAAAAAGGTCCAAGTCACGCAAACGACGCGAGAGGCGGGACAAAAGCAGGGACCGCGACCGCGGTCGCAGGGACCACGGTCGCTCTGGGCGCGCAGAGCGCAGCCGCGGCCGGCACCGAAGCCCACGTCCGGTGGACCTGCGCTCGGCGCCCCGTGCAGCGGGGCACTCCAAGCCAACGCGCCGGGGACGTCGCGGCCAAGGGGGTCCGGACGACGGCAAGAAGCACTCGGGCGGCACTGACGCCAAAACCGAGTGCAAGAGTTGCGGCCGCTGGGTCTCGGACGCCCCCGGGGCCTGGGAGCAGCACGAGCGAAGTGCGTTCCACCAAGCGTCCTTGTTTTGGCTGGACAAGAGCTTCAAGAGCTGGGAGCTCTGCTTGGAGGCCGGCAAGAAAAAGTCGGCGCTCTTGTGGTCGCTCTTTTACAAGAACACAAAGCCGTCGGAGCCGGCGCAGGCACCTACCAGGGACAAAAAAGAGCAGCGCAAACAGCCAAAGCGCCGGCCCTCTACGTCTCCCACGCCGGAGGCCAGGGACCCCAAGCGCGGGCCTGGCCCTCCCCCGGGTGGCGGCGGCAGCGGCGGCAGTGGCTATGACAAGGCCAAGGCCCTTACGTCGCTGTTTCAAATGGCGGTGGAAGGCTTGGAACGCATGTAAGCGCTGCTATAAGGAACTGCACGTGAAGCCTGCTGTGCGCTCGGCGCTCGCCTCGAAGGGTTGCAGCTGCACGCAGTGCTGCTGCTGTGCGCTTCCCTGGCAGGGTTGCAGCTGCAGCCTTTCCGCCGCTGCTGTGCGCTCCCCTGCGGGGTTGCAGCTGCACGCAGTGGTGCCACTGCTGTGCGCTCCCCTGCGGGGTTGCAGCTGCACGCAGTGGTGCCGCTGCTGTGCGCTCCCCTGGACGGGTTGCAGCACGCACTTGTGCGGCTGCTGTGCGCTCCCCTGCGGGGTCCAGCTGCACGCAGTGGTGCCGCTGCTGTGCGCTCCCCTGCGGGGTTGAGCTGCACGCAGTGTTGCGGCTGCTGTGCGCTCCCCTGCGGGGTTCAGCTGCACGCAGTGGTGCCAGAGCTGTGCGCTCTGCTTCTGCTACGGCACACAGCGGCCGAAAACGGCACTCCGCCGTGCTTGCCGGCATAGACGGGACCTCGAGCATGCTGGTGCCGCCAAAATACGGGGTCTTCCACTGCAGGGTTTTCGAAGCCTAAACCCCTTAAGCCCTCAAGTCTCTCGTTCTATATATCTATATAATGAAAAAAACTCTACAGCTTTCAACCCATGCACCCCCCTACAACCCTTGTCTTAAGTCTGACGAAATCCTTTTTTTTCTCTCTCTCTCTCTCTCTTTTTGTTTCTCTGTCGTTCTCTCTTTAAGAAACATAAACCCTATAAACACTAAGTATATAGACCCATAAACCCTTAACTTTTCCCTGCAATCCCTGAAAAGAGAAATGTAGGGATAATGTAGGATAATGTAGGATGGGTGTGCGCAACCACACTCTACACGATGTAGGCAGAATGTAGGATGAATGTAGGATAGCCTTCTACCAAAGTAAAGCTCCGCTCTCTGGAGCAAAAGCTTGTCTGGGCGGATGTAGGATGGATGTAGGATGAATGTAGGATGGCCGCCGCCTGTATCCGCAAAATCCTGGTTTGTGCCGGCTCTAGCTTCTGCTGCCTGCCCCTCCTTCTTGGTGCTGTGTCTCGCTGCGATGGCAGCGCCCGAAGCAGCGGCTGCTGCTGTGCTCTGCGTGAGCTGCAGACAGAAGCCTGAAGAAGCTTCGAAGGGCCGCCAAGAAGGCAACAAGTTTGAGTGCCAGTCATGCCTTGCTGTTCGCATGCTGGTTTACCGGAACTTGGGTGCCGGGGCCCTGGAGGAGTTCAGTCCGGAGCAGAAGCAAGACTTCTTTGCTCGCTCCAAGGACGGAGCCCAGGGCGGTCGCTACAAGTGGCCCTGTGTGCGCGCGGTGCTTGTCAGCAAGCACATAGAAAGAACTTTGACCTCCAACGAGGACAAGGTGACCACCGCCTCCAAGCCGCAGTCGGTCTGGGAGAAAGAGGGCTACTCGGCCGAGACCTTGAAAAACTGCCCCAGGTGGACCTGCCCAGTGTTGGGCGAAGTCGTCAAGGTTCCGCTCCACGAGAACGTCCTGCGAGAAATCCAGGAGACCGTGCACGAGAAGATCATGGAGAAGGAGCGCGCGCTGCGAGACGCTAAAGTCGGCAAGGCAAAGGCCAAGGCAGCTGCTGCGGGTTTCGGTGCCGAGCCGGAAGCTGCGGAGGCCGAACCCGACCTGGACGTGCCAGTGCTTGAGAAAACGGCAGCAGGTGCTGCCAAGCCCAAGCAGGCTGCCAAGCCGAAGGAGCCTTCGGCCAGGGCCACAGCTGCTGCCGAAAAGAAAGCCAAGAAGGAGGCCGCTGCTACGCACACCCTCGCGGCCAAGGTCGTGGGGCCTTTGACGGCAGCGCTCTCGACGCTGCAGTCCCTCAACAAGCAGCTGGCAAAGGAGGGTCTCGCGGACGCACAGAAGGACCTTGACGACGCCGGCGGCGAGTTCCAGACCTGGAAGAAGGCAGCCACTTCCGCGCTCCAGCTTGCAGAAGCCGGTGTTGTTCCGGTGCCTCCGCTTCCCTTTAGCAGCAAGGACTTCGCGGACCACCTGAAGAGTTTTAACACTCTGGTGAAGGAGGCTCGCACTACCCTTAAGACCCGGAAGAGGGAAACTAAGGACGCTCGGGACGCGGCAGCTGCCGAGGCAGAAGCACACGAGAAGGCTCCGGGGGACAAGCCTCCCGCGAAGCGTAGACGAGTGAAGGGCACCTGAAAACAGGCTGTTCCGACCAGCTTTCTTCGCATGCGGCTGTCGCCGCATTGCCTAATTAGAGTTGTCTGCATGCATCTCGGGGGCTTGGCTGTAGCATCCCGCAGGCCGTGCTCATGGAGCCTGCGACCGCATGCGCAGCTCTGTTTGACAAAGAAAAAAGCAACCCAGGCATGCTCGCTGGATGTTGTCGTCATGAAGAGATGTTGAAATTGGTGGGTTGGGTTTAGGGATCATGCAGGGGTTTGGGCTTGAGGGTGGCCTGGTTTAGGGTTCTGGGGTTCAAGGTTACGCTTTTAAGCTTTAATCGGATAACATGGTTTTCGTTACATATAGCACTTAACATGGGGCCTCTGTCTCTTTTTATTATATAGTTTGGGTGTTTTACCACTTGGCATTTTTGTGCTCTCAAGGTTTCATAGAAGGTTTTTGCTTCGGACGCCATGTCTACAATCGCAGCAGAACGGTCCACTGTCCTCGCTTCCTCAGCGTAGCCATGGCCAAGAAAGAAAGACAGAACAAACAAGCAACGACTGCTTTGGCGAAGCCCAAGCAAAAGGCTCGGGGCTGCAAAGCTTCAGCACCCGTGGCCACAGGCACGCCAGAGCTGGCCGTAACAGAGGTGCTCAGCAGTCCCGAGTCCGCTCGCCGGGCTGCGGCGCGAGCGAAAGGTGACCAACTAGCCGACCGCGTGAGGCTGCTCACCAAACGACTCGCTTTCGCCATAGAGACCACTGAGCAGTTTTGCCGCCGAAGACCTGACAAGCGTGAGGCAGCGAGCCAAGAAGTGAGCAGGGCTAAGGCCTTCCTGCTTCAAGCAAACCGGATGCTGAAATCTCACTTGTTCCACTGTGAGATTTCCGGCCAGATCGACCTGCAGGCTGCAACTGCTTGCGCCACAGAACTGCACCAGTTGGTTTGTGAGTTGAGGCGGCTTTGAATATTGCCGCCACTATCACGAGTGTATATAGGGAACAGCACAAGAACTGAACGAAGTGACACAACTTGCAAAGGGTCCAAAAACACAAACGCCGAAGCTGTGCATATGGCGCAACATGGACTGCACGTCAGCTTCATATATATAGGCGGGCTCAAAGCAGCTCTCCCTGAAGGAAACCCTTTAAAAAGGACACAGGCAACCCCAAGCTACAGAAACCTTGAGGTGAACCCATATCTATATCTATATCTATATATCTATATTATCTATATCTATATACCTACATATACTTCTTTGTATTTCTTTGTATATGTAGTTTAGTGTATACGTATGTGACATATGTTGCACAGTTTATTTGAATGTCCATGTTTCTTGTTCCAGCGTAGTGTGCGCGCGCCATGGGCCGCAAACGAAAGCTCAGCCAAGCCGAGCAGGACAACCTCAAGGAATGCTTGGCCGACACTGGTGGCCGGTGCTCGGACCAAGCGGTCCTGAAGGTCTGGAACAAAGCTTCCGAGCTGCGGGCGGGAGCTAAGCACGCGACTGCCAACGACGGTCGGCAGTTGACGGCAGAACTCAACGAGCCGTGTTTGCGGTGCTTCGAAACGCACGAACTGCCGACCTTGACTGGCGACACAGTTCGTTTCTGCTTGGCCAATCTTGGAGAGTTGTTGCAGGAAGCGACAAGGACGTCCCAGGAATGGAGCTTGGTTTTGGAGCGAGCGGTTTCTAGCGATGGCGGCAGAATGACGTGCATCCTATATCATGACGAGGTGACATGCGGCAACATCCTGGCCCCAAGGAAATCAGGAAAAGTTTGCATGCTGTACGCGAGTCTGATGGAGATGCATGCGTCGCTTAGCGTGGAGAATGCATGGCTCTGCATCGGTCTCGTGCAGCACCAAGACCTGGAGAGGGTTTCTGGCGGCATGTCACGACTCATGGCGCTGGTGAGCCGAGAGCTCCACAAGCACTCGGGCTTCCACCTGTCCCTGCCGTCCGGGCAGAAGTGGTGCAGTCTTCGTGCGAAGACGTACTTCCTTTCCGACGCCGAGGCGCAGCGCGCCACCTGGAGTGTGAAGGGTTCCAGCGGCCTGAAACCCTGCCTGTTTTGTTGCAATGTTCTGAGCAAGTCTTGTCTGCAAGACGTGACAGAGCCCTTCTGCAGCATCACGGCAGCAGATCCTCAGAAATTCCTGCCCTTCACAGACCAGGATTACTTTCAAGCTGCGGATGAACTGCAACATGCCGCATCCAAAACCAAAAGGCAGCAGTTGGAAAAGGTCTTGGGGACAACCTATGCAGAAGGTGGTCTACTGGTGGACCCCGTGGCCAGGGTGCACCTGCCGCCGTCTAGCAGTTGTGTTGACGTCCTTCATGTCTACTTCGCCAATGGAGTAGCATCCTGGGAGATAGGGAATATGATAAAAATCCTTGAGGAGGAAGGAATCTCCCTGGAGACGCTGCGTGAGTCAGCCTGCTCCTCGGATTGGCGCAAGGCCGCCACCGCGCAGAACGCTTCAGCCTACCTGCGAAATGTGCTGCTGCACCCCAAGATGTTCGACGAAACCGGTTTCAAAGGTCAAGGCCGGGATGCCTGGTCTCTTGTCTTCCTGCTGCACTACTACGTGCTCCAACTCTTGGAGGACAGGCAGCAGCTCGCACGGGAGAGCTTCTCCCTGCTGCGTGCCCTTTGCTCCGAGCTTCGTTGCCTCAAATACCGCTGCAAGCCCATCAATGAGGCTGCAATCTTGGACAGGCTGGTTTCCCTGCAGACAAAACACCAAGCTGCCTACGTGAAGTCCTATGGTGCAGAGGCGATCAAACCGAAGCATCATCACAGGTTTCACCTTGCTGAGAGTACCCTAAAACTCCACTGGCTGCCAAACTGCGAAGTGCACGAAAGCAAGCACAGGCATGTGAAAGGAGGCTTCCTAGAGAACCAAAAGAAAAGCATCAACAAGGGGTGGGAGCTGCAGAAGGCGTTGTTGGGCCGCCTTTTCCGCCAGACTGTGCTGGATGCAGACAAGTTCGGTTTGAATCACTGGGGCGCACCCCCTGCCGCGGTCCAAGTTGCAAAGAAAGCCTCGTGGGAGATGCGACAGAGATTGCAAGATGATACCCTCTGCGTCGTTAAAGAACTTCGTTTGGTGAGACTCAGTGTCAAAGCCGGCGATGTTCTGCTTTTCGACACTGTGGGAGGGGTCGTGACGCAATGTCTGGATGGAAGGCTGGCAGGGCCGTGGTTCTTAGCCAAACGGCTCAAGAATAAAATCTCTCAAGACTTTGGTTCGCTTTGGACGGCGACAGACGAAGATGCCTTGCTGCAGCCTTCGGTGGACCACGGCCTCCTGCTCCCCGCTTTCTGGCAATTTGTTGGAGACAAGGTCCTGTGCCTGCACTGAAGAAAAAGGAAGAGCCAGCTGCAATACGTTTCTTTCAACCCCACAAACCCTGCAACCCTTCACTGTCATTTTTGTGGTTCACACAAATACTCACCACGGAAAAAAATATGGAAATCAAGCAAAGACAAACTACTTGAGGGGAACTTAGGATGAACTTAAGGTTGGACTTCTTCAACTTAAGAAGGACTTGTGTAAGTTCACTTTAAGTGCATTCTATGGTACATAAGCCAGTTATATGTATAACAAGTAAAAAAATCTATCTGGTAACGACCCCTGTTCGGGGTCCAAGCTCACCCCTGTTCGGGGTTCATCCACACCCCTGCACGGGGTTCTCACGACCCCTGTTCGGGGTCCAGGCTCACCCCTTTTCGGGGTGCATCCCGCAGCCCTTTCGGCCTTGGTGCGGGTACGCCCCTGTACGGGGCTCCGACGACCCCTCTTCGGGGTCCAAGCTCACCCCTATTCGGGGTTCATCCCGCGGCCCATTCAGGCCTTGGCGCGGGTACGACCCTGTACGGGGCTCCGAAGACCTTGATGTGGCCACCTGACATCCTGACAGGGCCTGCACGAATGCCTACAACTACTTTTGCCTGCTACCTTTTAGGGTTGAGGCTTAGTTGAAGGTTTCGGGTGTTGGATTTAGGGTTCAGGTTTTAGGGGTTAGGGGTTTAGGGGTTTTAAACCTCTTTCCTGATCAATGCCTCCTTACCTACATGCCCGCCTACCTAGCTATCTATCTACCTACCCACCGACCTGGAAGCCTGCCGACCCACCTACACCAACAAGTACCTTCCCTCCTGCCAATCTACTTATCCATACCTACTTGCCTACCTAACTATACCTCTCTACCTACCTGTGTGCCCCTTCCTACCTGCAGCTTCTGGGCTTGAATGGGTGGGCGGGTTTGGGGGTTGGGTGGGTTGAGAGTTTAGGGTTCAGGGTTTAGGGCATGGGCTGGACGTTACGAAAGTTCAGCTTCCCTTTGATGTTTAATCATGAACGCACACGCTAATTTTCAAGTCGTTGTGAATGGTACAAAAAGCTGACTTTAGGGTTTCAGAACACAAAATCTCAAGCTTCTTGTTTTCGTTGAGCCACAAGAACACCAAGTTGCATATGTTTGGTTTGCTCGGCACAAACGAATCTTCAAAAAATATTTTGATCTTCAAAAATATTTTGCAACAAAGAAATTCCATGTGAACTACAAAACTTGGGACAGGCAATTATGTCAGTATGGCTTTGATTTTTCGATGTACATGTTTTCACATTTCGATCAAACCAAGTTTCAGGCATTGATTTTTCTATCGAGCCACAAGCACACATCTTTTTGTACATGTCCGGCATCTCGCTTCTTCCATATAGACCCACAAGAACACAGTCTTTCAGGTATGCATCTTCATTTGGAAGAGACCAAGTTTTCAGGTTTTGTTTTTCCACTGAGCCGCAAGAGCACAAGTTTTCACATGTCCAGCATGTCTTCCATTGAGTCACAAGAACACACATGTCTTGCTACATTCCATGTCACATCAACAACATAAGTCGTAGGACCCGGTTCCATAATGGAAAGGACCCGGTTAGCCCCGGACTGGCATATTCCACCAGAAGGGAAAACTTCTTCATGGTCCACTCCTTCGAAGGCCAGCTCGTAGGCATTGTAGCTT